GGATTTTGTTGGGGTTTGGTTGAGGTTTTGATGGGTTTAGTTGGGGTTTGGTTGGGATTTTGTGGGGATCCATGGGGGTTATGTTGGGTTGGATTGGGGATTTGTGGGGTTGAGTTCAGTTTTGAGGGAGTTTGTGTGGTTGGGTTGGGAACTGGTTGAGTTTTTTGTGTGTTTTGCGGGTTTTTCTTGGGGTTTGGTTGAGGTTTTGATGGGTTCAGTTGGGGTTTGATGGGGTTTCGTTGGATTTTGGGGGGCTATGTTGTGTTGGGGTTTGGTTGGGGATTTGGTTTGGTTTCAGTGGGGTTTGTTGAGATTTGTGGGGTTGTGTTGGGTTGGGGTTTGGTTGGGATTTTGCGTGAGTTTGGCTTTTGAGGGGGTTTGTTGTGTTTGGTGGGGTTTTATGGGGCTGGCATTGGGTTTGGGCTGGGACTTGGTGGATTTTTGGGGAGGTTGTTGAGGTTTTCCTCACATTTTGTTGAGTTTGTGGGGTCTTGATGGGGTTTGTGGGATTATGATGGGATTTGGTTGAGGTTTTGAGTTTTGAGGGAGTTTATTGACTTTGGTTGAGGTTTTATTGGGGCTTTTTTGGGATCGGATTGTGAGGATTTGTTTGGGTTTGGTTGGGTTTTGTGGTGTTTGGTTGGGAAATTGTTGGGCTTGTAAGGTTTTGTTGGGGGTTTTGGTGGGGTTTTGTGGGGCATTGGGTCGTGTTTGTTGGGTCGCATTGGGTTGTGTTTGTTGGGTGGTTTCATGGCACGGAATTGGGGGCGTTTTGATCTCTGGAAATCTTGGAAATTGGGGCAGTTGTAGCATTTTAATGATGCAAAATCGGGGACGTGTTGGAGCATTTTAATGATGCAAAATTGGTGCCGTCCAACGGAACTTGGAGAAATGGGATGGAATCCTGTTATAAGAGGGACATGGCCATACTGGGAAGCGTCCCATAGGCTGGAAACCAGTACAAAAGGGACAGGAGCTCACTGGGAACCCAGTATAGAGCCACGAGGTGACACTGGGGCTGCAGAACCCCTCCCTGAAGAATCGGGGGATCCCATCAATCCCAAATGAGGATGGATCCCAATTTGGGGAATCCTCCCTTGGAGACGGAACCCATCCCCAGCACCTGACGTTGGCTCGGAGGAGGACTTGGGGGNAGGGACAGGAGCTCACTGGGAACCCAGTATAGAGCCACGAGGTGACACTGGGGCTGCAGAACCCCTCCCTGGAGAATCGGGGGATCCCATCAATCCCAAATGAGGATGGATCCCAATTTGTAGGCAATGACGTGACAAAGGGAAATGGTTTTAAATTGGAAGAGGGTGGATTTAGACTAGATATTGGGAAGAAATTCTTTACTGTGAGGGTGGTGACACACTGAAACAGGATGCCCAGTGGGGTTGTGGATGTCCCTTCCCTGGAAGCATTGAAGGCCAGGCTGGATGGGGCTGTGAGCAAGCTGATGTAGTGGGAGGTAGCTCTGCCTATAGCAGGGGGTTGGAACGAGATTATCTTCGAGATCTCTTCCAACCCAAACCATTCTATGATTCTACGATTCTAAAATTTCGTGGAATTTTGATAAGTCAGACCCAAAACAGCAAAATATAATTCACTTAGCAGCAGGACAAAGTGCTGATCTTTACCACGAGAAGAGAATCGTAGGGTTTCAGCATCTAAAGGGGGTCTGTAAGAAAGAAGGGGAAAGACTCTCTGGAAGGGTCTGTTGTGATGAGACAACGGGAAACGGTTTCGGAGTAAAAGAGGGGAGGTTTCGATTGGATACAAAGGGAACATTTTTTACAATAAGGGTGGTGAGGCACTGAAACAGGCTGCACAGAGGGGGGGTGGGTGCCCCATCCCTGGAGGCGTTTGAGATCAGGCTGGGGGG